TTCCTGCTGAAAACATCTTCCAGTCTCTCTTCTTTTTCCTCACAGCTTTGCTCTGAGGTTTTCTTGGCTCCAGCTGCTCCTTTATCCCTGTTGCACTTCCAGGATGTTTGGCAAGTACCAGCCAACAGTTCATTTCCTCTGTTCATGCTTCCTCAAGTGGAGAGGAAAAAGAACAACCAAACCCAACTGCATCAATATTTCTGCCATTCCCAGGAAAAGAAAAATCATCTCCCACAGCTGCACCTTGGGATTTGTGTGTCCCAGAAAAGGGAGGCAATGTGGGAACTGTTGATTTTAATTTCCTCTCCCCCCCCCAAATGAATTAATTTTGAATCTAGTGAGAGTTCAACCATTGGACAACAAGGGTGTAGAAGCAAGATGAGCTCTAAGGAAAAGCCTTGGCATCTTTAAATACATAAAGACAGAGCTGATCATCCCCAGAGAGGTGGTTATATTCTGATTTTATTGGCTTTTGGCAGTGTCCTGGTTTAAAAAGCCATGTTGTTGCTCTGCCTCAAGAGGTTTCTCACCAGTTTCCCTGCTTCCTCTGAATCACACTGACTTCCACTGCAGGGAAGGTTTGCTGCTCATAAAAACCCAGCTCACAGCAAAGTCATTGCAGGTAGAAGCTCTGGAATGATTCCCTGGGTACTTGCTGCTCTTACCTGTGTGTTGTAGAATTGCTTTCCTGTCTCCAGGCTGTTCCTCCCCACCCTCAGAGATGTCCTGGGAAGGTCTCAGCCCTGTGTGCTCATCTTTTAGGGAAGTGGTGGCCAAAATGTTTGGCTGCTGTGGGCCATTGGCTGCTGGAATTTGCTACCCCAGAGCCTGGCTGGGAGCTGAGGGCTTGTGGGGAGGTCAGGAATGTCTGGGCCATGGGTTTCCAGGCTGGGATGGGTGGTGGAGAGGGACCCTCCAGTGTTCCCAAGCCTCCTGTGGGTTGGTTGTTTTAGCAGTGTCAGTCAAAATGACCTGGTTTAGACTTCCTGGGGTTGATATGGATGTGGTGGAGACCTTCCCTTTGTGCTGGGGGTGTCCCAGAGGGCAGGACCATGCAGCAAGGTGCCTGCAGGCTGTGGGGAGGGACCCCCAGCACCCTGCCCTGCCCAGGCAGCAAGAGCCTCCAGAGAGCTGAGATGGCCTTGAAGAATGAAGTTGGCTTTAAGAAATGAGTCAGTGCTGGTCCTGCAGCTCAAGGCAGAAAATCCTGTCACTGCCAGGCCCAGCCTGAGGGGGTTTGTCTGGTTTTCCATCCTTTTTTGCAAGTTGTCTCCTCACCTGCATCAGCCTTTCCTTGCAGGGCAGCTCCTCCCTTGCTTCTTTCCAGCCCCCTTTGAATTACCTTCATCATCTTGCTCCTGGGGTTGTCTCTTGGGCTTCCTGTGTCCCTCCTTTTGCTCTCCAGGTTGGTTTTTATTCCCAGAGTCTGTCCAGGTCTTCCTCTCTTGCTGGTTTGTCTGCATGAGGCTGTGGCAGCACAACCTGACTGTCCCAGTCAGCCCAGTAAGTTGGAAGGGGATTTCATCCTTGTCCCCAGTGTGACACGTGCTGCTTTGCCTCCAAGAATCCTTTTTCTCCTAGAGGCAGGAAGAACCAAGCAGGTTCTTGGGGCTTGTTGGATGTGGGGATGAGCTGATTCAGGTGGTTTCTCTGGTGTCTCACCTGCTTGGTGGCCCCACAGCCTGAAGTGGCTATAAATGGGTGGGATTCATCTATATCCTTGTGTATTATGTCCACCTAAGAGTTCAAAATGCTTTAGGAAGGTGGTCAAGGAAAGGTTTTACCAGGAATGTGGCCTTTTCTCCTCGTGTTTCCAAAGATCTCAGCCAGTTTGGTGTGTTCCCTGCAGGTTCCTCGGCTGGTGAAGGTTGTCCTGGAGAGCTCCCCTTACTTCAAGCTGCTCAGCTGCCCCGAGGAGAGCCACAAGGTGGCACCTGGCATGCTGGCAACCTTCCACATCCTTTTCACCCCGGAGGAGAAGAAGGTGAGGCTGGAGGTCCCAAGGGGTTGGTGCCTTCAGTGGAAGCTGGAGGTGCAGGGCTGGTTTGAGCAGGACACCTTGGGGTGGGTTTTGAGGAGCTGTCCTGGTTTCAGTGGGGTTGGGCTGGCTCTAGGATTGGGGACAACTCTTTGCCCATGGGGAAAGATGATGCTCTCATAGGCTGGGACATTTAATGTGATGGATTTTGTTGCCTTCAGGGATGAGTCTGCTGTCTGGGGTGGGGTGGCCTCTCAGGGGGTTGGTGTCTGGTCTCTGTTGCTGCATCATGATGGGTTTGCTCCACTAATTATGTATGAAACAGACTTATGTAAAATGACCTGCTGCTTGGACAACCTGAAGTGAGCCTGACCAGAGGGAGGACCACCACCTCTGGGAGCTGGAGTCACCCACACGTGCTGTTGGACACAGCAGCTGGACATTCTGTCTGAAGTTGTCCCTTTTGTTGCACACTGGTTGTAGCTCACACCCTGCTGGGAGCTCAGCCTTGGGGCTTGTCTACAGGTCCTCACATCCTTGCATGGTGCCCTTAGCTGCTGCAGCAGGGACTGGTGGGCTGTGCCTTCCCTCCCTGAGCTTCCTTGAGCATTCCTGAGGGAAGATGTGGGGCTCTGAAGGTCAGTGCTGTGCCCTGGCAAGTCTGATTCCCTGTGCTGTGATGAGAAGGGTCAGTGCTGTTCTTTGGAGGCTGTTAATCATGCAATCCCAGACTGGTTTGGGTTGGAAGGGACCTTCAAGATCATCTAGATCCAACCCCCTGCATGGGCAGGGACACCTCCCACCAGCCCAGGCTGCTCCAAGCCCCATCCAACCTGCCCTTCAACACTGCCAGGGATGGGGCAGCCACAGCTTCCCTGGGCAACCTGGGCCAGGCTCTCACCACCCTCACACCAAACAATTCCCTCCTCATGTCTCACCTCAATCTCCCTCTTCCAGTTTTAATCCCTTCCCCCTTGTCCTCTCCCTCCCTGCCCTTGTCCCAAGTCCCTCCCCAGCTTTCCTGGAGCCCCTTCAGGCCCTGGAAGCTGCTCTAAGGTCTCCCTGGAGCCTGCCTTGGTTGGAGAGCTGAGGTTAGAGGGTCACTCTGACCCAGCTGATGCTTCTGCACAACATCTCTTTGGGCAGAGCTGCTTTCTCCTCTTCCACCTGCTGCTCAGCTTCAGTTTTAACACTTGATGGCTCAAACAGCATGGAGAGAAAACTGAGGAGGAAATGCTCTGTGATCCCAGCTCCCTGGGCCTGTGACATAATCTGTTCCTTTGGAGGGACTGAGGAATTATTTAACATCATTAATATTTAGGCTAAAAATGATGCTGGCCTAGGGCAGTTCTCCCTGCTAACCAAGTGACACAAGAGCTTCATCTCACTGGTACTTTTAAAATGTGATTTATTGGCATTAATTAGTGTTCATTTTGGGGGTGGAAGAAGTAAATTGGTGCCCAGGAAGGACAGAGTCCTGCTCTTCCAGTTTGGAGAGGCAGCAGAGCACCAGATGAACATCACTGCAGATGGAAGTAGGGGGAGATAACAACCCAGGAGCACTGGTGGCCAGAGCTTTGTCCCTTGTCTTGCCCTTGAACTGGTGTCTGTGTCTCTGCACAGCTTCAGCAACACCCTGGTGGCTCCTGCTGAGCTGGGCTTTGTGCTCCTTGCAAGGAGAGGGATGAATCCTGCTCCCTGGAGGAGCACGTGGGGGTTTATCCAGCAGGATCAGGATGTTCCACACATGGAACATTTTGTCTCCTTCCTCATGGGGTGACTCAGCCAAGTCCCAAGGTGCTGCAGCTCAGCTAGAGATGGATCAGTAGCCTGGTCAGGAGGTGCTCAGCACCTTGAAACCCCTCAGCAAAGAGGGGACATGGGTCTGGAAAGCCACCTGCCTGGGCCTTGCAGTTGCTTGGTGGTGGGATGTGGCTGGTGAGTGTCACCTGTGAGCAACTTCTTCATCTCTGCTGCTCCCTGATCCCTGGGGATTGTGGAGCCCCCAGGGAACTGGGGTGAGGAATGTGCAAACCCTGTTCAAGGGCTGGCTGGATGGGGCTGGTTAGTAACTGGCTTGTAACCTTTTGAACTGCCTAAGGACCAGTATCACCTCTCCTATGGTCAGGCTGGGAGAGTTGGGGTGTTCAGCCTGGAGAAGAGAAGGCTCCAGGGAGACCTTAGAGCACCTTCCAGTGCCTGAAGGGGCTCCAGGAAAGCTGGAGAGGGACTTGGGACAAGGGCAGGGAAGGAGAGGACAAGGGGGAAGGGATTAAAACTGGAAGAGGGGAGATTGAGGTGAGACATGGGGAGGAAATTGTTTGGTGTGAGGGTGGTGAGAGCCTGGCCCAGGTTGCCCAGGGAAGCTGTGGCTGCCCCATCCCTGGCAGTGTTGAAGGGCAGGTTGGATGGGGCTTGGAGCAGCCTGGGCTGGTGGGAGGTGTCCCTGCCCATGCAGGGGGTTGGATCTAGATGATCTTCAAGGTCCCTTCCCACCCAAACCAGGCTGGGATTCCATGAAACCCCTCTGCCAGGATTGAAGAGCCCTCCTGTTGTGGAGTTGGTTTATAGAATTCTCTTACTCTGTTCCTCCCTGGGCTAAGTGTGACTTCAGTGAAGTCACTTCTGATTCAAGGCAGCAAGTTTGTGCCTCAGCCAGAAATGAAAGGCCCAGGTGAGTCGTTAGTGGCTGAAATGCCACGGAGCCCTTTCCTGAGAAATGAGCAGTTCCCTGTTGTCTCACAGTCATTTTGGGAAGGTGCCACATGATTGGAGTGTCAGAAAGCAAACAAACAGCTGCCAGGTCCCTGCCTTTATTGGCATTTGCATGATAAATCTGAAATGGTAATTTTTCTGCTGGGCAACAGTTCCAATTAGCTCCTCTTGCTGCTTGTGCTTTGCACATCTCTGCTTGGCCCGTGTGGGTGTTCCCGTGTCACCCTGAGTTCCCAGGTGGCCCTGCATGATGGGCTGCCAGGCTCTGCCTAATTGGGAACCACTGTGGAACTGGCTGGCAAATAAACAGCAGGCAGGCAAAGCTTTACATCTCTGTGTCCTTCAGGCTTCTTAATAGATGATCTTAAAGGAAGAAGGAAGGCAGAGGAAGAACACAGAGCTGCTTCTTCTTTGTCTGCTCTCTGCAGCAAGACAAGCTTCCCAGGCTGTGCAAGCTCAGCCTGTAGGGTTTGCAAAATTCATTCCTGATGCTCAGTGGAGGCTGAATTCATGCTCATTGATTAATGTGCAATATGACAGGATGATGAGTTATTGCATTGCTGAAATGAGCTCCTTTAAAATTCAGCCCTGGGAGATGTTTTGTAGCACACGGAGGCTGTTCCAAGTGCACTTGTGAAGAAGACTCCTGGGAGGAAGGAAAGGGTGGAATAGCAAGGCCAAAAGCCCTGTGCAAAGTGTACCTGGAGCAAAGGGACTGATCCCAAAGCATCCTGTGAGTTGGTGGCTGAGGGAGGCAGGAGAAAAGGTGACCCCCTTCTCAGGTGAAGCCACCTTTACCCTCCAGTCCCTCCTCTCTTTTGATGCTTTCCCAGCCCTCAGTGCTGGGATTTCATTAGGGAACTTGCCCTGCTTGGTTTCCCACGTTGCCTCCTGCCACAGGGAGCTGCTTTTTGCAAGCTGGTTGCTGCAAAGCATTCAGTGAATAATTCAGGATCAGTTGATGGAGCAGAACTGCCAGCTGAGTCAGGCATCCTGGGCAGGTCAGGTTGGTTGGTATCACTGTGACAGGAGATATTGGTGGCCTGAGTTTGCAAAGAGCCTGAAATGGCATCTGAGACCATCAGCAGCTTTAATTTCAGTGGATGATACTTGGAAGGCCAGAGCTGGGGACTTATAATCAAAGGGAAAGAAGAGGAACCATCATGAATCCATCTGGGTTTTGAAATAAGAGGGAACCATCATGAATCCATCTGGGTTTTCCTTGAGGTGGAGAGAGGAATTCTGTGCAGGATGAAGTTGTGTTTGCATGAAAAGCTGTAGCCTGAGGCTGCCTCCAAACACAGCCATCTGAGAAGTGATGCAGCCCCTTGCTCCCTGCTCCCAGTGAGAAACCAGCTTCCCAACAGGCTGCTGAGGGCTGGCAGTTGTGATGGAAACCAAGATTTTAAACTGGTTTCAACTGTCCCTCTGGGTCATAAGCAAGTGAACAGCAGAGTGAGTGCCCTGGTAGCACAGGGCAGGGGCTGCAGGGGGGAATTTGCAACCTTTTTCTCCCAAAGGAGGACAATTCAGCTCTGAGAAGCTTCAGGATCCATGGGCTCCCAGCAGCAGGAGCAGCCCAGCTCCTACCTAGCACCCCTCTCTCCTTGGGGCTCCCCCCATTTGGGCCTGGCACTGCATTCAGCTTTGGTGCAGGGTGCTCAGCTTGAGGTGCTCTGAGCCAAGCCTGGCCTGGGAAGGGACATCCCAGGGTGCTTGGGCACCAGCAGCAAGAGGCAGCAGCTTCCTCAAGGTCATGGTTGTCTCCAGGAGGCCAAACCCTTGGTGCTTTTAGCTTTGCAAACCTGGAGAGAAGTCCCTTTGCTGTGCAGCTGCTCCCAGTGCCTCTCACCAGTCACAGAGCTGGACAGGTTGCCTCTGCTTCTTTTTTTGGGGGGAGAAATTGTTCCTTTGGGCTCTTATTTCCCTTCCTCTTGATCCTCTTTTTAGCCAATGTCTTGAAAATGGTTTCCTTTTACCTCCAATTATTGAAGCTTCTTTTTTTTTCCTCCCTTTTATCCCCCCCCTGATCTGAACTCTCTGCATCCTCCTCTGTCTACCTGGCAGCTGGGAGGGAGAGATAAGTGAACGTGGCATGCCAAGACTTAATAAGGCACACAGCTTTCAATTGGATTTACAATGCCTTTGGTACAGCAGTGTGGCCAAAATAACAACCCCCCCCAAAAAAAAAACCAAACAGCATTTTTCATTTCCTAATGCAGTTTCTGAGGATCTAAACAGCCCAAGATGGGAAGGACCCAGATAATAGGTGCTTTCAATTCACCTGGGCTTTTATTTTAGGGGATTTAGGCTGCAAGATTGAGGGCAAAGCTGCTCATTCAGACTTGCAGAAGATGAAACTCTCTCCTGAAATGTGATCTTTCATCCTGGAGGTCGTTTGCTGCAGTTTCTTTACCTCCTGAATAGGAGAAGCTAAAGCCCTCCTGCAGTTTCCAGTGGGGATATTTGAGATGTCTAGGGACAGATTCTTTTTGCATCTGGGATGTGGCAGCATTTGGGGGGGGGG